TCTTGCCTAGGAAGCCCCAGCGGCCCTTGCCATCGTCGGCTGGTCTACCCGCGAGAATGCCGGATCCCGCCATCTGTGACGCTGAAGGGCTGGTCGGTGCTGTCATGGGCTTTTTCGGGTGCGGGACGTCGAACACGTGCAGTGTCGACTTATCTGATGTGCAGGCTAGCTTCGTACCCTCGGGGCTGAAGCCGAGAGAGAAGATGGTGGCAGGATCAACGCCCCGTCTCAACTCGGCGAGCCGGGCACAATTACTTGTGGCGAAGACTCTGATCAGAGTGCCCATCTCGCTCGCTGTGGCCAGAAGCTCGCCGTCTGAGCTTACCTGAATGGCACGGAGGGCAGATGAGTGAGCGGGGATGATGCTGACGTTGCCGGTCCCGATGTCGACGAGCTGTATCTGCCCGACAGTTCTACCCGGGAATGCAATAGTCTTGTCTGACATGGCAACGAGTCCGAGAGGGTTGTTGGTGGTTTCGTACACTGACAGCAGGTCGGGAGGCTTCGCAAACGAGTAAACGCGTACACTGTTCTGGAGCGCTACGACGATACGGTTTCGACCGATCCGGACGCCCCGCACTGGTGTAAGAGAGGCGATCTCTATGGCGACTCTACCCTTCATGTCGTCCCAGATAATGGTCTGCGCGGTAGATGAGTTTGCGATCCCACAGAGGACTGAATGATTCAACACATACCTTGGTGCTACTGAACTTGGGTTGTCTACCGCCGCCGACGAGCGCCAGGTAATTTGTGGTCCCCATCATCTCGACCAGACCGATACCGGCATTGAAGTCTATAATGCGATTAGCCGCTTTTCTTTATGTAAGGTTACAAGGGAGGAAGCGCAAACCTCTAGATGCCTTGAGAAGGCAAGACTTGGTGTGGAAGACTAGGTACCGGATGTCAGGGATCATGAATAGCTTAAGTGTTCACATCTCGACTCCCACAACAACTTACTGCATATTCCTGAGTTCAGACCAACCGAGAAGCAGCTGGCATCACTGTTGAAGGAAACAGAAAGCACGACTGTCGAGGGCGCCGTCTCTATAGGTGGACGAGTATTCATTGTGGAAGAGGGTGCCTATAAGTCGCAGTGCCGAGTATGTGACGGTTTGGCCTGGACGACGGTGAGGGGCTCGGTAATAAGGGATGAGCGCTGCGGATGCAAGGCTGGGAAGCCAGGCCAATATTCTGTTGTTTTTGAAGTTCTTCGTTACGATATCATCCTAGACAAGTGCATCTCTCGAATAGAGAGGTGCTCTACTGACGATATTGACGATGATGTTGACAGACGGCAACGGGTTGAAGCGCCTAGTAACAGCGGCAGTGAGTTGAGCGGGTCGAAGTCAGCTGGATTGCCGAGTCAGGAAGCTGGGGCAAGGTAAGTAAGTTGGCAGGGGGGATTGGCAAGTGTATGCAGTCGACAAACAGCCCCCAGCGATTATTCAGAGCGAACGGCGACCGGATCGCGGAATTCAAAAGGAAAGATACTCATAAAGAGGACCTCGTGGACAGTGTCTCAGCAGACAGTAACCCAGGTGAAGTCAGCCTGGGGACGTTGGAACTGAGAAAAGGTACGTATCGTATCGTCCCGTCTCAAGCGGCGCATCAACCAACCTGACTGTCCACTGGCGAGGTGCCCAGGAAGTCACCTAGGTATTATTGGGGTACCAAGGTGCCTCTAGCGATATTAGGTAAGCATCATAACTCAGTGAGAGACGGGAACTTGGGATGAAATGAGCGACAGAATAGTTTGCCGCTCAACACTTGGTTAATCTCTGCTTCTATCACTATCACAACCTTCACCTTTACCTGTTCTTCTTCTCCTTCTTCTTCTACCACCATCCCTTGTGTTGCAAGTCTTTCTAGCACCTTCTTTGGATATTTTCTCTAGGGAAAGAAAGACTCAAAGTACCTTATTTCACCAACATACTTAGTTCTCAGGATAGCAGTGATGATTGTAAGGGGAGTGTGATCGAGGCACCTGCCACGTCTGTCCAGCTGGGTGCCACCTGGCCTTAGGTAATGCACCACAGGTAGGTACTCCGTACAGGAACGCGAAACATGTTTGGTCCCTTGGACACACGGTGCAAACGCGCCAACATCCAACGTGCGTGCCGCAATTGCTGCAGGCGGGAAAGCTTCAGCACTGACCATGTGCCAGTCTCGTGACCTGTCATCCTGATTCCTCTCTCTCTCTTCCAAAATTGCCCGAGGATACCCCGCTATTGGTGCCTTTCCTCTACAGGCTTAGCGTCAATTTTGGCGGAAAGGAGCGTGGGCCGGGGAGTTGCTCCCCCCCTGAATTGGGCGTGCAGGAGGAAGCAATCAATTGGCTGGGGGGCCTCTTGGGGTCGTCCTGCCGCAACATTTTGTGTGAAATTGCATTTTCCAACACCCGTCGGTCAAGACCCTCCCGTCCCCTTTAGCACCTGCACCTCCCGTCCGACCCCCAGGTCCCAATCCAGAACAACGACATTTGGGATCCAGCAGTCCTTTTGCTCCGTTCATCTACGACACGACACGACGCTCGCTGTCCCTTGAAACGATATCGTCGCCATTCTTTTCTCGTCAAGTCGTTGATTCCCTCAACGACTCCCTTACCGACCCTCTTCTAGACTAAGCCTTACTTTCAACAACCGTCGTATGTTTGCCCGCTTCTCTCAGTCCCCCCCTACTACACCAATCCGGCCCCCATTCAACAATTCCTCTCCCGACTCCACGAAGCCATCATGGCCCCAATGCATCTGCATCCCTCAAGATTCCACCTTACTGACCACACTCTACACTACAGAAGATGATGCGCAGAAAGAAGAACGTGAAGAAGGGAATCCAGTTCTGTTTGATGGTCTGCGGAGCATCAGGCACTGGTACGTCTTCCCCCTACATAGCCAACCTCGTGTTCGCCCAAACACCACCGAGTCCCGTCGACTGACTTTCGACCTTACAGGAAGAACCACCTTCGTCAACACCCTCTGCGGAAAGAGCGTGCTCGGCCACAAGGAGTCGGACGACCCCAACGGCGCCTCTGTCGAGGACGGTGTCAAGATTAAGCCCATCACTGTCGGTGCGTGACTACTATGTAGAGCCCTTGATCATCGCATCAGCAAACTGACAGCTATATAGAACTTGAGTTGGACGAGGAGGGTACCCGTATCTCTTTGACCATTGTCGACACTCCCGGCTTCGGTGACCAGATTGACAACGAGGCCAGGTATGGCACCACATGCCAACCAAAAGTGATGGTATCGCAATCGCTAACATGGTCGCAGCTTCTCCGAGATTGTCGGCTACCTCGAGAGACAATACGATGACATTCTTGCCGAGGAGTCTCGTATCAAGCGTAACCCTCGTTTCAGAGACAACCGTGTGCACGCCATGCTTTACTTCATCACACCCACCGGACACGGGTAAGCCCACTGTTTCATAGCCTTGGTTGACCGCCACTAACTCAGTCAACAGTCTTCGCGAGTTGGACATCGAGCTCATGAAGCGCCTCGCTCCCCGTGTCAACGTCATTCCCGTTATTGGCCGTGCCGACTCCTTGACCCCTGCTGAGCTCGCCGAGTCGAAGAAGCTTGTGATGGAAGACATTGAGCACTACCGCATCCCCGTCTACAACTTCCCTTACGACATCGAGGAAGATGACGAGGATACTGTTGAGGAGAACGCCGAGTTGAGAGGTTTGATGCCGTTCGCGATCGTCGGTTCTGAGGAGATTGTCGAGATTGGCGGTCGTACCGTCCGCGCTCGCCAGTACCCTTGGGGTGTTGTTGAGGTTGACAACCCGCGCCACTCCGACTTCCTCGCTATTCGATCTGCACTTCTTCACAGCCACTTGGCTGACCTGAAGGAGATCACCCACGACTTCCTGTACGAGAACTACCGTACTGAGAAGCTCAGCAAGTCCGTTGAGGGTGGTGCTGGAGTGTACGTTCTACAACCCCCTGTTTTACCCATGATGATACCTTGCTGACCATATTACAGCGACTCGTCCATGAACCCCGAGGATCTCGCCTCGCAATCTGTGCGCCTCAAGGAGGAACAGCTGCGGAGAGAGGAGGAGAAGCTCCGCGAGATCGAGATCAAGGTCCAGCGCGAGATCAACGAGAAGCGACAAGAGCTCTTGGCCCGCGAGTCCCAACTCCGCGAGATCGAGGCCCGTATGCAGAGGGAACAGTCTGCAGCAGCCGGCGGCCCCGCCGAGGCCAACGGCGACCACGAAGCCAACTAATTCAACAATTCTGGCCCCTGCTTATGGTTACCCCAAACTGCGACGTTGGTCTTTTTCTATACTGGCGTTGGTTTCCGTGCTGTGTTGAAAGAGAAAGAACAATATTCCCCTATGCGAGTTCGTTTCTCTTGACACGAAGATAAAAACCCCAAAAAGGTCTACTACGAATGCGACGACTGGGAAGAGGCTACCGGCTCGGTAGATGTGTGGGAAGAAGCGGTGTACGTTCTCGGGGCGGAGGTTCAAAGGCTTCTGGGTCGAGGTCGAGGGGATCATGGAGGACACGGCGGACGTGTGGGCCACGAGCTACTCGTCAATCTGTTTCCATCATTCCTATCACGCCGCCAGCCCGCATCTTTCCGGCTGTGCCTTTGTAGCCCTTTTTACTAACGCCCTCATTTTCCTTTTCTATTAGTCGACTTCTCATGCAGATATCACATTACTTTACCGCTTCACCAAATTCAAGTCTTGTTCCCCGCGTGATATCTGATTGATGCACTGTTTATTTTGTGATTCATTTGTATCATATCAATTTTACTATGAAGGAGGCATGTGAACGACAAGCACGCAAACGGCACTCTTACTCAAGCATCCGATAGTGTGATAAGCACTTGCGGCATCCCTGCTTCCTTACGAAAGAACTAACAAAACAGCCTCTTTTCTACTCGAAGCAACCTGTCTGAAGCCGAGACCGCCTGACTACGAAATCCAAATTACGCTACTCCTAGAACATAGGGGGTATTGTGTGTGTGTGCTGCGACCAGCTTTAGTTGTTCTGCTGGCTGTTCAAGATGCGCAGAATCGCCAAGAACAGGTTGATAATGTCGAGATACAGGCTGATGGCGGCCGCAATCTCCTCCTCGACGTGGTGGTGGCGCATGATGAGCTGGGTATCGACGAGGATGTAGGCGCTGAAGATGAGGGCGGCGATGCCACCGTAGACGAGCTCGCCGGTGGAGCTGTAGGGGAAGAACATGTACATAAAGCCGAAGAGGACGAGGCCCCAGAGGGCGCCGCCGAGGTAGGGGATCCAGGAGGTGAAGTCGTACTTTGTCTGGCAGGCGAAGGCGGTGAGGAAGATGAAGATGCCCGCGGTAAGGAAGACTGCGTTGAGGACGATGCCGGCCTTGTAGAAGGAGACGATGACGGAGATTGTGTAGGCTTCCATGAGGGTGAAGCCCGAGAGGAAGAGGAGGTTTGTCGGGTAGGATTTACGTTTCCAGAAGGTGAGGAGCATCATGATGATGGAGCCGAAGAGCTGTGTTCCTCTGTTAATATTGTCATGATACGGCGCGTGAAGGGGGGAGGGAAGCGTACGGATGCGAAGACGAGGCCTGGGTGGGCCTGAATCCAGGTCTTGTAGCCATTACTAAAGAAGCTGAGGGCGGAGACGGCACCGGTGGCGATGAGTTGGACGGTAAGGATAGCGTAGACCTTGCGGATGAACTGATTTCTGATGTCGGTCGTGGCCTCTGCTACTGAGCCGCCGAACTGTAGGTTTGACGTGTTAGTCGAGAGCTGGTTCACGAAGGGTAGGCACCGAGAGCCACGGGATAGCCGGGAGCTGATGACCGGTGCCTGGAGAAAGCTGTGCTCGTGCTTACCTTGAAGTCATCGGGGAGATCGTCGTCCTGGCTGCTGCGAGGCGCGCCGCCGCCGAAGAGGCGATCGGTGTCGGAGGCGGCCGTGGGTTCGGCCTGGTAGGCGGGGGGCGCCTGGGCGTAGCTTGATGCTTCGTCGGGGTCCTGGGTCGGCGCCGGGGCGTACTTTGTCTTGGAGGCCATTGTTTACGCTTGATTTGACTTGTTTGTTGACGGAGGCGTTTGAATTTGTCGTCGAGAGGGTTCTTGCGAGGAAAATGTCGCGTAGGTGTATGACGAGCACTTATGAACCTTTTTTCTTGGGTGTTGGTTGCCTGCGGAAAGGTTGAAGGAAGGGCCGGGCGGAGGGTCGTTGTCGTCAGGAAGGGATCATGTGGGGAGGGCGTGATGCGAACGGTCACTGCTTACACAGCTATGTGTGGCTGATGAGTCTGGGGTAGAAGGTGGCGCGCAGAGGGTCATGTGATGGGAAAGAGGCGTCGCAGAAACGTCGGGCGAGATCTTCAAGATTCTTTCCTTTTAAATACATAGAGCCCTCTACTGACACATGATTATATTATACTGAAGCCTATGCATGTAAAAGGTCGCGCCTTGCAACTCCTGTCTCGCTCGGCATATTCCCTGCACTCCATAATGTGCCTGAAGACACGGCAGCAAGCGCGAACGCTAAACGGTGCAGACAGCAGGGTAATTTCAATATTCCTGATTTGATGGATCTATCATCTGGCATCTTGGACCTTGGTTGGGCCTTGAATGGCGGAGTGACTAGAGCGACTTCTTGGCAACCGCGTGGTCTGATGTTCGCGGCTCTCTGTAAGCTGCTGCTAAGGCAAGAAAGGTTCAAACCTCTATAGGTTTGTGGAAAGGCAAATTGGAATACTTGGACACCGTATAAACGACTCGATATCCACACATCACATCACGATCGCATCCTAAAGTGGCGGTCTCGAAAAGGATTCGGCCAGCCGATACTCGTCGAAAAAGACGGGATGAAACGCGGAGGCCGAGAGATAGGTACGGACAGAGAGGGATGAGAGATCTTGACAAGACCTTCTGGATATATGCACGGAACAAGTAGAGGACAGAGCTGTGAGGACGGGAAGGCGGGTAAAGACGAGGACGAGGCGGAACTTTGGGGCACCTGGCCTGAGCTGGTTTCGTCTGTGATGCGAGGTCCGACCGTATTCGTCTGTTGTTTTCTTTTGCGCCGTGGTGGTGTCGCATTCAAGTGCGGACACGTACGGGGCGAGGATGAAATAGGCAAATTTGCGTTTGTGATACGGGGTTGTTCGGTTCTGCTATCCGTTCCTCACTTCTGTAGGTACCGTTTTGATCAGGACTATCAATCAAATACGGCGCTCCATCGAGATTTTGGAGGTGGAGGCGTCACGGCCACGCGCGGAGTGCGATTTGGGGTTTGCGGCTCTCACGAAGGGTCATTGAAGTTGAGGATCACTAGCGTTCTGACGGCAGCGACGCAAAATAGAAAAGCGACGGTCTCGTTCTGAATGCGAGGTGACGGAGCTGGCAATTGGCTGATGCATGTCGCCATCGCACGGGGAGGGGTGGAAAGCGGACGGGAGGATGGGGAGCCAAGGTCTTGTCGAGCTTCCGCAAGGTATTCGTACCTCATGGCGAGGCACAGTACAGAGTACCTACCGGACGTCGTACCTTGTACAGACAGCATTTGCTCTGAAGTTTGAACAGCACCTTTGCTTTCCAAAGGGGTCCAGTGACAGCCATGCGTATTGAGTAGTCAAGGCTGCGCGAGAGTTTAGGCGGTGTCAAGGACTGTGGACAGACATTGTTTGTGACCAAATGCATGGCGCAAAGTCCAGAAAAAGTCATTTGTTGTTGTTGGACGTTGCACAGATGAAAATAGGGGTATCTCACAGAAATATCTGTGAGACCGGTAATAGTACATAGGTACAGCACCTCATTATAAGGTACGACGTGACAGAGCCTGGAGCCTTAAAGACCTATCAGAAACCTGGCAAAAGCAAGAACTAGAGCGTAAAGAAAGGATGAGAGAATACTCCGTAGCAAATGTCAACATGATTGACAGGGGCATGTATAGTACACATCGATAAGCGTCTAGGGGCGAAAATCACTTCATTTTAAACGCTGTGCATATCTGCGAGATGAAGATTGTCAATGCCCGTGCAATTGTTCCAACGTGCCCTCTGCTAAGATGACGAGATCAGCAGTAAACACAATGGCCAGGGAAACGAGGAGAGAAGCAAAGAAACCAAAGCAATTTAATTGGATCAATGGACAAGTGTTGAAACTTGTTGAGGACGAGGAGACCCGCCCGTCCTTTCTCTCTCTCTCCATCTCCAACTCCCGTCTCCACGTCTGCGTTCGCGTTGCGGCGTTGGTTTCCCCTCCCTCCACTCTGTTCCTGACAGCTCTGCCTTGGAATTGATTCGAGCTGTCCAGCATCTGTGGCCTGTACGGGTACGGATACTCGAGTCTAATTATTCGTTTAAATAGACTTGATCCTAAGTACCTTATTATTAAAGAAAGTTAATTCTTTCTAAGTCATAAGTATAAGAATATAGTTTTAATAAAATAATATAATACCTACTTAGTACTTAAATTAAAATACTTTTTTAAGCTCGCTATAAAAAAAAATAATTATATTATTAATTATTTATTATCGAGGTTCGTAATTAGTATTATAGCTTTAATTATAATAACTTTATTTATAATAAGTAAAAAGTTTAATTATAAGTCCCTTAAAAGCCTCTTTTTAAGGGCTATAAGAGCCTCTAAATATACTAAGTTAAAATACTTATTAAAATATTAATAACTAAACTAACTTTATAATAACGGCCTTAATAAAAAAACTAAAAAACGAATTAAAAAATAATATTAAAATCCTTATTAACGTTAAGTATAATTTATAAAAAATAATAACGTAGTTATAAAATATTAATAATATATTTTATATTAAAAAAATTATTATTAATATTAATAAAATAAATAGGGCCGTATTAATATAGTACCTTAGCTTCTTTTTATAATTTAAAAATTATAGCTTTAAATAGTATTAAAAGTTTATTAAAAAGCTTTTTTAAGTACTTTAATATATTTATTATTATTTTTATAATAATAAAACTCTTAATATTTATATATAAATATAAATTATTTATTTTTAAATAGTAATATTAGTTTATTAATAAGTTATTAAAACTGCGATTTTAGCGATTTTTAATAAGAGAGAGGGTAGAATAGAGGAAAGGATAAGTAAAAAAAAGGTTAAGGTTAAATAGTGCGGAATTCGAGGGCAGGGTAGCGTCTATATGTACTACGGCAATCCTCTAGTAATACAAAACGATGGAGTTAAACAGTGAAATAGACTTGATTCATTGGTGCCATGTTGGTCTTGGTGGAAGGCAGAGAGAGTGGACAAAGGGGACGGGGGAGGGGTCGATTGTCTCCCAACGGCGGGCCACGGGCGACAACAATCAAGCTTCCAATCATTTTGGCAATTTAAATAGAAGGCACCACCACCACTGTCCACCGCACCGTCCAATTCCACGTCCCACGTCCCACGTCCCAGCGGTCCAGCGCAGCATCAATCAGTGATGGAGCTGCAGCCAGACTCAAATGGGATAAGGGGTCCCCCACCCCTTGGGTCCTTCCTTCTCCCCAATTCCCCCCCCCCGAAAGATGCGCCAGGTACGTACCGTGTGCCGCACTCATTCTGGGAAAGAGGGAACCAGGGACCAAGAGAACCCTGGTGCTTTTATTGGCCGATACCAACTGCCCACATCCCTTTCCCATGTCGCGCCTACCACCGTCAACTCTCTCACAGAGTATCTCTTTCTCCCTTCAGGTTCTGTTCCATTTTCCAATGGCAAGCCGTCTTCACCGCCTTTGATGAACCTGTTCGGCTCACTAAGAGTTGGCCGGCGATCTGTACATGACGGTTACATGTGTTCGGTAGACGAATTGTGAGAGACTGAGAGCGTCAAGCTTCAACAAGGCTTTGACTCTTCCAGCATCTGGTTCCTGCACCTCTCAGCTACTCTTGTCAAAGTGAACTGGGCCTAGCTACCGGTTGACTTGACCCTTCCCTCCCCGGGGCTACCTATGAGCCTATGAGCAAGGGCAAGATAACTAGAGGCTAGAAGGCAAGAGCAGGTTAGGAACGTGTAGGTACAAGAGTACCTCTGTGGAGCCTCCTTTTTCTCGAGGCGAAGCTGGGCTTTTGAGTGGAACGACGCGAGCCACCGGTACCCAGTACCTTAATCCACGTTTCCCTCTGCCGCTGCTTTTCCAGCCTTTGGCTAGGTTTTCCGTCTCCTGAAAGGTAGGCAGGACTAGACAGAAAATTATCAGAAGAAAAGTATTCGTGACTTGAAGAAACTCTGTCCCAGCCACGGCTGCTACCTTGTATTCTTCTAGACTCTGTCAAGTTTCTTCCAGTGTCAGTCTCTTTCCCGCCCTGCATCTGTCCAGGAACTTTTCTCATCCTGCTTCTCCCCTCTTAACCAAACGTACGGGCAGACAGCTTCACCAAGCACCCATCTCTGGTCACTGAAGTAACAGCGAGAAAGAAAGAAAGACCGCCGCAGCCCGCATCCTCGCACCACACCCACCACTTCACACACCAAAACGGGGGGCACCATCTTGCTGCACACCTGATCCCAGCAACTTTCTGGAGCAACCGAGCAGATCCTGACCTAGGCCTTGGCGTCGTGTACCTCCATATTCGTACCGTCCAGCCTGTCCTGCTACAGTCCTCTACCTGAACCTGACCGCCGTCCAGTCCACCGTCCCGTCTTCGGTACCCATTGTGTGCGACGTTGCCCTTCCGCTCACTTTCCCATCCTCTTGATCTTCAACCTCCCTAAAACCAACCAAGGACGTTCGTTTTCCCCCCTCCCCTCCCTTTTTCCGACCACGACACTACCAGAAGCGCCCGTGACGACCTCGTCGCGCTCTGCGGTAACAAGAATCCCGACAAGTGCTCCTTTGCGCACCGAACCCGCTCCAACCGCGTGTCGATAACGAATCTCTCTTCGTTATCGCGGCTCAGCACCAACCACAACCACCACAAAGGATCACTAGGCTCGACGGCTATCCGAGAAAACACCAACGCCAAACCACGACGCAGCCGTCGCTGAGCATTGTAGCCTCTTTCACGACTCCAAATTCGGGTCGCCGCTCTCTTCGATACTTCAATTGAGTTCCAATTGGAGCTCTAGTCGCGCATCATGAGCGACACCACCAGCAATAACGAGGCCTCGTCGCCAACTTTTGAGAAGCCTGTCAGGACCAGCTCCGCCGGGCCCCAGATCCAGCGGAATGCTAGCACCAAGCAGCTTAAGCTTATGAATGGCCCCCTTTACCAGCAAGGACACAACAATGTCAACGTCGTGCTCATTCGACGGGTCAGGAGGACAGACGACAGCGCCTGGAAGATGTTGAGCCGGTGGATGGTTGAGAACCAAGTCGGTACGTCGTCTTTCTTGTGCTCTCTCCTTACCCTTTTTATTACCCCACATCCACCTCTAACAAGCCACAACTGGATATGCTAAATGCTACACGGCCTACATCACCGCGAGACTATGCCTCCTATTTGCGAAGCATGGCTTGGACATAGCTAACGTGTGCCGAATTTAGGTCTCTCCTTCAACCTCTTGGCCCTCCTTTTCCTCGCCCATTTCTTCATCCCGAAGGCGCAACCTCACACGACCAAGTTCTTCACCCTCTCGTACTACAACCAGGAAACTGGCCAGTATGGCGCTGGTCTCGGTGACTCTTGCCTTCTCGCCTTCTGCATCATCCTCTTCACCGGCCTGCGCGCCGCGACCATGGAATACGTTCTGGCACCTTTGGCCAAGGGATGGGGTATTAAGAAGCGCAAGGATCTCACACGCTTCAGCGAGCAGGCCTGGCTGTTGGTTTACTACATGGTCTTCTGGCCCTTGGGCATGGTAAGTTTACTAGTCATTCCGGCTTCTTTCGCTGGGCAACCTCTAACAATGGTACAGTACATCTACAAGACTTCGCCCTACTGGCTGAACCTCAGAGAGCTCTGGACGAACTGGCCGCAGCGTGAGCTCTCCGGCCTCAACAAGTTTTACATCCTGGCGCAGTGGGCTTTCTGGCTCCAGCAGATCCTTGTCATCAACATCGAAGACCGCCGCAAGGACCACTGGCAGATGTTCACTCACCACATCATCACCTGCACTCTGATTTCCGCCTGCTATAGCTACCACCAGACTCGTGTCGGAAACCTGATCCTCGTCCTCATGGATGTTGTCGACCTCTTCTTCCCTGTACGTCAAAGCCCCCCGTCCCTTTGTCCTGCATAAGCTAATCAGTTGCAGCTCGCCAAGTGCCTCAAGTACGTTGGACTGAACACCCTCTGCGACTTCATGTTCGGTGCCTTCGTTCTGTCTTGGCTTATTGCCCGCCATGTCTTCTACCTGATGGTCTGCTGGTCTATCCACACCCACATTCCCGAGGAAATTCCCGACTCGTGCTATACCGGTCAGGCGCCTAACCTGGTGGGCCCGTTACCTATCCCTGAGGGTAAGAGCTGGATGTTGGAGCCCTTCTACAAGTCGGATGGCATTGTCTGCTGGGACTCTACCATTCGCTGGGCGTTCCTCATTCCCCTCCTCGCTCTGCAACTCATTACCATCGGATGGTTTTTTATGATTCTTCGCGTTGTCAACAAGGTTCTTCGCGGCGGCAACGCTGAGGATGTCCGCAGCGATGACGAACTCGAAGGCGAGGAGGAGGGCGACTATGTCTATGAAGAGGAGGTTGCTCTCGAGGAGGAGGTTGGCGTCGAAGATATTGACCTCAAGAGCTGGGAGCGGAGAACGGGAATCAAGAGACAAGCAAGTTCTTCAGGCGTGAGCCTGCCCGGCCACAGCGACCGCAAGGAGCTGCTTGGTAGAATCGGCTGCGAAAAGCAGGTCGACTAAATCTGACGACTGGGTGTCGCCTACGAAGCCATGTAAAGGACCTCGGCGGCGCTAAGTCCGGTGTACACAAATGAGTTGGTGGTACAGGAAGCGCTAAAGGGGAGAGGAGTTTTTTTTCCAGAAATGGTTGGCACAGTCAGGGAAGACATATTGCCGACCTATACTAACGTACTACTTTGCTAGAGCATAGTGCAACGCCTGGATGGCGGGCACACACAGGCATAGATGACATTTGGTTTTGCTTTTCCGCGACGTAAAGAAAGAAAAAAAGGGGGAAGCGAAAGAGGGTGAGAAGGGTTTTGTACCTCGCCTCTCTGGGATCTTCACCGAGTTGGACTTATTCAAGAAATGAATCAAAAAGCATTTTGAGTTGATGAATATAATGTCTGCCCTATGCATACTACTTGCCTGCTCCTGTAATTTCTATGGTCTACTTATTCAAGATCATTCGTGTGGAATGGATGAGAGGAAGGTAGTTTCGTGACTACCAGATTCACATCTTATTCCGTACTTCACATACCCCAAATTGCGGTCCATCTCAGAGTTAGAGAAGTTTCGGATAAACATCATCTCGTGATTGAGCATATCTAAAAGATTGGGGTACTGACGCCAACCAAAAGAAAAGAAGAAAACTCCCCTCAGCCGTTATCCGACCATCGTCATCCAACAGAACGTCACGTCACACTAAAACCCCCCCAAAACCACCAAAGCGGCATACAAATCTCCTTTTCCTTTTTTCCTATTCCAGTTATTTCCAGCTGGCAACGACACATTCCCAGTGCCTCATGCTACGTCCGCCGGCGTGATGGGGCGGAAAACGCCATTCTCCAGCAGATACGACCCGGGCCGCTGCGTCTGCACCAAAGCCTTCAGCGCAGGGTTCCTCTGCGCCAACACGTCCTCCTCGCTCTTGAGCAGCACCACGTTTCTGAGCCCACCGCTCGCCTCGACGCTCAGCTTCCTCAGCAGCTTCGTCGTCAACTCGTCCTGCGCGCCGTCGGGACCGCGGACGACGACCCACGTCACGCCGCCGAGACGGGCCGTGACGACGCCCGAGAGCAGACCGGGGAAGAGCCAGGGGTACTGCAGGATCTCGGCCTCGAAGGCGTTGATGGATTCGCGGGCGGTGGCGGCGTAGGAGTCGTTGTTGAGCATAGTGCCGAGGCGGAAGAGGTTGGAGACGGAGACGGCGTTTGTGGAGGGGAGAGCGGTGTCCATGCCGTCCTTGAGGCGGAGGATCGTGTGGGGCGCGTTCTCGGGTGTGGTGTAGAAGGCGCCACATGAGGAGCGGGATGTTGTGGATTCCGGAGTCGGGCTGTCGTAAAAGATGTGGATTTGGGCCTCTGTGGTGGTGTGTTAGTTTGTTTCTAGAGTTCAGGAGGAGAATGGGGAAGGATCCTTACGCTGAAGCTCGTCGGCGAACTCAATCCACTTCTCGTCTGCAGTCACCTCGTAAAGTCCAATGAGACCTTCAATGAGATAGGCATAGTCCTCTGCCAGAGCCTTTGTCTCACCCACACCCTCGTGGTATATCCTGTAAAGAGTTTTGTTGCTCTGATCCCAAAGGTTGGATCGGATAAAGGCCGCGGCCTTGCTGGCAGCCTCTATCGCAGCTTGGCTCTTTGACGCATCAACGGTCGACAAAGCCAGTGCAGCCCTTGTCAAGGAGGAAATCACCAGGCCGTTGCGTCCCACAACAATCTTGGTATCGGCCTCGGGTCTTGGGCGCTCTTTTTCTCTGTGTGCCTTGAGCTTTTGTTTCGCTGAAGTGACCACTCTCTTCACTTCATCAGTAGTAATACCAGCCTGGCGTCCAATCTCTGGAATATCCTTGACAACACGCAGAATGTTCTCATTCATGAACTCATCGTTGGGATCCTGGTCCGGTTCGACATTGCCATGCTCAAGCACATTCCAGTAGGACGCAGCCAGCGCTGCCTCGTGGTCATCTCCAATGACTGTGTCAAACTCCCTTCGTGTCCAGAGGTTGTAAGCTCCCTCTCGCATATGTCTGTCTCCACGTCGGTAGTACGAGTCTGCGGCTTCGCTAGAAACGAAACCACCTTCAGCCAAGTTGATGGGGGAGCTGGTGAGGTAATCGACCAACTCCACCACGACATCGTAGAACTCCTCGTCCTTCTCGCCGCTACCTGCAATCAGCCATGCATCCAGGTACAGCCCAAGAAGCAGAGCATTTTGGGCAACGAGCTTCTCGAAGCGCGGAACACTCCAGTCTGCAGTGACAGAGTATCGCGCAAAGCCGGAGCCTCCCACATGATCGCGCAGACTGCTGTCTCGCATCTTGCGCAGTGTGAAGAGGGCCATCTCCGTAGCGTGCGCGCACTCCGTCTCGCCCACAACATCCTGAGCAGGGGAAAGATACCGGGGCAAGCGCAGCAGGAAGGACAGCTTCGGTGGAGTCGGGAACTTGGGGGCCAAGCCGAAACCGCCGTAGACGGGGTCAAACGTGCCGGCGATGTGCGTGTAAGCCTCTTCCAGCTGGTCCAGGTCGAGCTCACTTGACACGGCGGCAGCCGCTCTGCCGGATTCCGGAAGCTCCAGCCCCGTCTCTGATCTTCCAATGGCAGCGGTCTGCGAGCCCGCAACACCCGGCTGGACCGTGGCGGTTCCTAGAGTACCCTCCGCCGCGAAGTCGTGTAGCTTCACCACGACCTCCTTTGCCTCCTGTCTGCATCGCGGCTCCTGCTCTTTCCACACCTTCTGCAGCTTGCGCAAGATGGCTAGGAAGTCCAGACGCTCCTCATCATCGGAACCTCCATTGTTCGAGCCGGGAGCTGGGTAGTAGGTGCCACCAAAGACGGGCTCGAGATCAGGGGTCAGAAAGAGGTTCAAGGGCCAGCCGCCTGATCCGCTCACAGCCTGCACGTAGTTCATATATATCGTGTCCAGCTCAGGGCGCTCCTCGCGGTCGATGATGACGGGGATGAAGGACTCGTTCAGGATCGAGGCACATTCGCGGTGGGTGAAGGACTCGGTGGATGTAAGTCGCGAATCTGCAAAAGAAAGGTCAGCGCACATGGTCGGGTATCCGCGGGGTTCTGTCTTGCGACGACTTACAGTGGCAGGCCTTGAAGCCAATGTGCAGAAAGATCAACTTGTTCTCCTTCCTGGCTCTCTCGATCGACTCGTCGTTAAGCAGTTGCCAGGCGACGCGGCCGTCCGCATGGCTTCGTACGTACGGGCTCTTGCTCTGCCCAACCCTGTTCACCAATGGCGGGGCTGGTTCATGGCCGTCATTTATCTGTTGAGCTGCAAGCTGCAGCGGCTGAGGATCAGCCTTCTCAGCCCGTGCCGCTTGTGACAATTCGGAAGCGACCATGGCGGAATGCTGCGGCGAGTAATGCTCAGGGTTGTGGGATGTTTGTTGAAGCCAGTAACGCTGTTGACCGTGGCTTTAGATATGTGTACGGACGGCGTCGAGCGTTGGCAACACCAAAGGCTGCGAATGCTTTTCGCGGAACGAGTGCTTACGATCTTGTATTGAAAGATCACGAGATATTTCCGCAAGTGGTAGCGGCGGGGACGTCGAAGGTGGTCGTCAGTCGGCCCGAGGCGAGGGGATCTGGGGCAAGAAAGTGCGGTAAGGGTAGTCTTTCGAGCCTGTTCGTTGTACAGATCGGGATAGAGAGTCAAAGAAGGCGAGTCATGTAGAGCAATGCGAGGTTTTCCAGAAAAAAAAAAGACCTGCTACCTTTGATCCTGCGGTGTGGAAATAAGCGACCCGTTGTTTATGTCTTTGAGCGGCAAGTCGAAAATGTTCGAGAGGATCCTCAGGGTCGGTGTCTTTCGAGGACCAGACGTCACTGCGGGCTGTCGCTGCTGCTGCTGCTGCGCAGCGACCAAACGGTCATTCGACACATAAAATGCGCTGCCCCACCATTCGTTTCTCCCCGAATGAGGGGTATTTCTATTATGTAAGCAATTCCCTCCCGCTGTACCTGAATTCACGCCTATTTATCCATACTTAATTCATCTTGACCTCAGAAGCATATAGATCTGAACTTTCTTTACCTTGCGTAATATAGTACACTAACTAAATGCCTCACTGAATAGATTGCGGAAGTTCACATTAGCGAAATCCCAAACACTTGAGGGAAAATACCCTCGCCCAGCTCAACGCTAAATGTCGCAATAACTGCTCAAGCTTTGGCTTCAAACTCTCCTCCGATTCATGCCTGTCGCTACCTTCTACTGGAAAGATCCGGCCTAGTCCGCGTCCAGCTGGCCGTGACTCGCGGCTAGAGCATATGAACAGGCCCAAGGTCTTGATCTGTAACTTGAGAGCTACGTATAGAACGGTGAAAATTAGGATGAATCTGTCATACGAAATCAAGGGTTCAGAGCCTCAGGGTCGAAGTATTGGAGTGAGCGGAACGGTAATTAATGCTTAATTCGCATCCCTGTCCCCAACCCAGCCGCAGGACCATTCTCCAACGGAAGAAATCTGCTTACTCAGTCTTTCGGCCGGGTTTCTTGAAGTCCATGTTTATGAGTGAGAGGAAATTCGGTGATCGTGTCGTGGCCATGATCCCATAGACTCAAGAGGCCGAGTCAGATACCAGGGTTCGTTCTCTTCGAGCGATTTCATAGTCATTTGCCCATGATTTATCCTCTTATGAATTTGGAAGGACCCAGGCTAAACGAGCTTGGGAATGTGGCATAGATCTAAGCATGGATTTTCTACTATCAGTCCTTCATCAGACGTTGTTTCATTTCTCGGCCTTTCAACCCTGGCTGTCACTTCCCGAAAGACACATAATAAACGAGGGTATAACGCAAACCACAACTCCAACCAGCTTCACCCCTTTTTTGCAACACATCTGTTTCCCTTCCATTCTCATCAATATCACAAAATCAGGAAGAGATCGCCTCCTTCGTCTCGCCAGTCTTCTCCGGCGTAGCGGCGCCAGGACTAGTCTTCTCGTTGCTGTCATCCTCACCCTCGGTGACGATGGGCAGACGCGTCGGCTTCTTGCCCGTAAGCATAGACCTGAAGGTATGGACGAGGGTGCCGCGGCCCTCAAAGATGGGGAACAGGCCGACGGCGAAGAAGGAACAGAAGATCCACAGGATGCCGACGACGACCCAGCCGGTGAAGAAGGGCTTGCTGAAGATGTAGCCGGAGCCGTACATGGGCATCGGCCAGAGGATGAGCATAGCGATAGTCCTAATCTTCTTGTCAGTTTTTGTCTTCGATGGTAACAAGGAGAAATGCACCAAGAGTAATACTCACATGAATGCCGTCATGGAGACGGAAATCTTAAAGGCACGCGAGAGCATGGCCTGCTCCTTTTCAAACTCAGCCTGCGACTCCGTGTTGCCAGGCACATCCTCAAGATCAAGGCCAGCGGCGTTAGCCAGCTCGTGGTCGTCGCCTCTGCGGATCGCCATCATCGACTTCCAGTCGTAGCTGTCCAGGCCAAAGGCCAACGTAAAGACGGGAATCAAAACGATGGGCGAAAGCAGGGCGATGACGTTGCCCGCCAACATGGGGCTGTTGGAACCCGTGCAAGTGACGTCCAGAACGCCGCAAGTCTTCTTGGCCGTGACGAGCCAGCCGATAATGGCAAAGGCGGTGCCAACGATGGGGGTTAGCGTCGCAGCCCACTTGTTTTGGCCCTTCCAGACCAGAGTCAAGGTTGCCGGAATCACAGCCGCGGAGATGAGGACGCCCATCAGCACGTAGAGGTAGCCCATGGAGATACCGTTGTAGAAGAGGCCGACGGAGATGGAGCTGATGATGACGGCGTACACGACGACGCACACGTGGGACATGTAGATGAGCCTCTTGCCGCTGGCATCGGGCTTGAAGTACGTTCGGTAAATATCGTACGTGAAGATGGAAGAGACGGCGATGAGCTCGGCCGAGGAGGCGGAGGTGACGGCCATGAAGATCATGAGAAGGGTCGCGACAGCGCCACCCTTGCCGAGGAGGGCAACGGCGGCGTAGGGGAGGGCGAGGCCGGCGGACACCTCTGCCTCGGTCATGCGGTCGGGGAAGGTGGGGAATCGGGGGTTCGACTCGAGGGCGAGGGCGGAGAGGCCCATGGTGGTTGCGGTCAGCCACGGGATGGCGAACCAGGAGAGACCACCGAGGATGTAGCCCGGAAGAGCGTGAACTGGTGACGCGGCGATGGCCTTGTTGTAGTAGCCGTTATCCAAAAAGACGGTTCCAAAGTTGCCGACTATATCGAGTTTCGTTAAAAGGTGAAGTCTTTGGGAGAAGGGGAGCGTCACTTACCAATGTTGATAACAAAGAATTCGACACCGCCCTGTGATCTCATCGTCAGGTAGGAGCCCTCGGCGTTACCAGAGACGGGATGTCTTGTAGCGGCCTCAACGAGAAGATCGTAGACCTTGGAAGGGCTGCCGAGGACATCGGAATTGGCGTAGGTCGTCAGCGAGAAGAGGATAATGATGATGAGCAGGATGAATGTGTGAACCCAATCGGTGAGGAAGGTGGCTTTGAGACCTCCGACAAGGGTGTAAGCAACAACTCCTACGGGGAGCAGGTAAATAGCAGCCACGGTGTTCCTACGATTTCCGTGTCAGTTTCTCCTCATACTCAACCAGAGCTGCCAGAGACTTGTGACTTACATGCCAGTCAAGGCATTGACGGTCGCCGCACCACCGACAATCAGCATCAATGTGACCAAGATGTTCGTCATGAGGCCAAAGACAATGAATACAATGTGCGTAGCCGTCCCATATCTAGCCTTGATGACTTCGAGGAACGTGTGGGCGTTGGGTGCTCTGCGCTTGAGCTCAATGGCGAGGGTCGCAAAGAGCAGGATCTGGACAGTCGCGCCCGAGGCGTACCAGAACGGTCCTGAGACACCGTATCGGTAGCACACGCCAGAAGACTGAAGCAGCGTGGCGGCCCAAGTCCATGAAGAAACGACTGCGGAACCGACGAGGCCTGATTTGACTGTTCTACCGGCGGTTGTGAACATCTCGGAAGTCTGCAGCTCCCGGTTGTAGCGCTTGAGCACATAGGTGGTGGCAATCTGCATCATCACAGTCAATCACTCGTGAACACCCTTGGATAACACGCAAGGGTCAACGTACCATGCCAATGGCGAAGAGAAAGCCCACACCGAGGACGATGCCGTAGCCGACGCCCTGGTTGAGAGCTGCTGTCACCATCTTGGTCCAATTCGTCTGAGGATTCGACTATGTATTGGTGTGAAGCTCAGAGAGAAGCTGCTGTACCCTTGAGACAGACACTACTTCCATCCCGACAACTTGGGACCGGCCCTCCTGTTTATATGTATCTGCACCGGGGCAAACTTCCCTCACAAGCGAGCACAGTTTGGCCGGCGGCAGCATCGATCCCGAACGTTGTCCTACGGCTATCGGAGCTTAAACTACCGGACCTACCCTTGTCCCATGTGCCAGTCGAGACAACGGTTCGACATTTGCCCCCACTCAGACATGAACAGATACAACTGCCAGGCCGCCGACGAAGCCGATGGCGCACTTTTGGCGGAGGCGGGCGCGGAGGTCGAGGATCTCCGGGGAGGCGGCCTGGAGGAAGGGGGGGAAGGAGGTGTTAGCTTGGATGGGATTTCCTGGTGTAATGCGACGAGCAATTTCTCTGGGAA